AAACCGAGGATATGTGTGTGTGTGTGTGTGTGTGTGTGTGTGTGTGTGTCAACGGCAGCCTCAGGGGAAACCGAGGATGTGTGTGTGTGTGTGTGTGTGTCAACGGCAGCCTCAGGGGAAACCGAGCAAAAACTGGGTGTGGATACTGGGAGAGCAGAAAAGGTTCTGTGAGGAGGATACACGTCTCAGATATTCCAGCAGAAGAGAGATGGGCCAACTTTAAGTCCCAAGGAGAATGGAAGAAATTCTATTCCCGGAGGCTGAACTGCCCCAGTTCCCAGAGGGGACTCCCTGAACAATCAAGCGTGGACAGGCTGAGCCCAGAGCAATTAAGGACATGGAAAGGCCAGCAAGTGTTTCGGGCTTTTTTTTCCCAAATAGAGCCTCACCTCCCACCCCACTCACCACTGCTGGCTTCACTTTTTCCTTACCTGGAGCATAACTGGGGCTATTGGTGGGGTACAGGCTGGGATTGTAGGCAGGGGCTGCAGCTGGATAGGCTGTAGGGTAACCTATGAAGAGACAAAAAAGTTCCATTTATTTGGGCAAGAAGAAAGCAGATTTCTGAGGAAATGGAATCCAAGTCCCAAGCTTGGCCTTCAGCCTCTTCATGGGCCATTTCAGGTAGTATATGTGACTGGTTTTAGCCTCTCAAGAAAAATCACCAATACCACAGTCCCAACATATACACATTTTTCTGTCTGTTTTTTCAAAGCAATACAAGAAATATATGTCTATATGCTCACTGTAAAAAACCCTGAAACACTATGGAAGTATATATGGTAGAAAGTGTAAGTTTACTTTCACATTCCTGCCATACTACTACTCTCCTCCCCAGAGATAATAGCAGTTTGGCATCTGTGTCTCCAGATGGTTTTCCATGCATTTTTATACACATATATTCAGTGGTGAGCTAGTAAATATTTAACAACTGGCTCAAGGGGATTGGGGCAGAGCCCTATTTGTAGCATTTGCTAAGTTCCACGGTGTAAGCACTCCCAACCATGGCCAATTTCAAGCTACCAACATCACTGAGTAAGTATAAGTAGCTGAGAAGCTCACAATTGGGTCTAGAGAGCGCACACAAGCCTGATCCAGTCCACCACTGCATATTATATATAAGGATTAAAAAAACGTTTTTTAATTGTGACAAAATATATATAAAATTTGTGATTTTAACCATTTAAGTGTACGATTCAGTGGCACTAATTACATTCACAATGTTGTGCAACCATCCCCACTATGTATTTTTCTAAAAGTTTTTAACCACCCCAAACAGAACTCTGTACCCATTAAGCAATAACACTCCATTCCCTCTTCCCATACCCATCTTAACTTTTTTTTTAATATGTTTATTGGAGTATAATTGCTTTACAATGGTATGTTAGTTTCTGCTTTATAACAAAGTGAATCAGTTATACATATACATATATTCCCATATCTCTTCCCTTTTGCATCTCCCTCCCTCCCACCCTCCCTATCCCACCCCTCCAGGCGGTCACAAAGCACCGAGGTGATCTCCCTGTGCTATGCGGCTGCTTCCCACTAGCTATCTATTTTGCATTTGGTAGTGTATATATGTCCATGCCACTCTCTCATTTTGTCCCAGCTTACCCTTCCCCCTCCCCGTATCCTCAAGTCCATTCTCTAGTAGGTCTGCGTTTTTATTCCTGTCCTTCCCCTAGGTTCTTCATGATTAACTTCTAATCTACTTTCTGTCTCTATGAATTTGCCTATTCTAGATACTTTATGTATTCTAACACATGGAATCAAACACTATTTATCCTTTTGTGCCTGGCTTCTTAGCATAATCTTTTCAGAGTTCATTCATGTTTTAGCATGTATCAGAACTTCATTCCTTTTTATGGCTGAGTAATATTCCACTGTATATATATACCACATTTTGTTTATCCATTCACCTGTTGATGGACACTTGGGTTGTTTCCACCTTTTGGATATTGTGAATAATGCTGCTGTGAACACTGATATACAAGTATCAGTTTGAGTCCCTGTTTTCAATTTTTGGGGGTATATACTGAGGAGCAGAATTGCTGGGTTATATGGTAATTTTATCTTTAGCTTTTTGAGGAGCCACCAAACTGTTTTTCACAGTGGCTATACCATTTTACACTCCCACCAGCAATGCATGAGGGTTCCAATTTTTACACATCCTCACTAACACCTATTATTTTTTTCTATTTTTTTAAAATTATAGCCATCCTAGCAGGTGTGAATTGGTATCTCTTTGTGGTTTTGATGCACATTTCCCTAATGATTAATGATGCTGAACATCTTTTCATGTGCTTATTGGTCATTTGTACATTTGTTTGGAGAAATGTCTATTCAAAACATTTGCCCATTTAAAAAGTTGGGTTGTTTTGTTGTTGAGTTGTAGGACTTTTTAATATATTCTGGATATTAAACCTTTATCAGATTTGTCATACTGAGTGAAGTAAGCCAGACAGAGAAAGACAAATATATGATATCGCTTATATGTGGAATCTAAAAAAAAAAAAATGGTACAAATGAACTTATTTACAAAACAGAAATAGAGTCACAGATGTAGAAAACACACTTATGGTTACTGGGGGGGAAAGTGGGGGGAGGGGGATAAATTGGGAGATTGGGATTGACATATACAACACTACTATATATAAAATAGATAACTAATAAGGACCTACTCTATAGCATAGGTCAGTTCTCTGGAATGAACTATATGGAAGAAGAATCTAAAAATGAGTGGATATATGTATAACTGATTCACTTTGCTGTTCAGCAGAAACTAATAACATTGTAAATCAACTATACTCCATTAAAAACTAAGAAAACAAAAAAACTTTATCAGATTTAATTTTGATGGAATCCAATTTATCTATTTTTCCTTTGTTGCTCATGTTTTTGGTGTCATATCTAAGAATACACTTCCTAAATCCAAGGTCATGAAGATTTACCCTATATTTTCTTCTAAGAGTTTTAAGGCTTTGACCCTTATATTTATATCATTGATCCTTTTTTCTTGGCTGTGCTGCACGGCTTGTGGGAATCTTAGTTCCCTGACCAGGGACTGAACCCGGGCCCTCGGCAGTGAAAGCATGGAGTCCTAACCACTGGACTGCCATGGAATTCCCATCATTAATTCATTTTTGTATATGGTGTGAGATAAGGGTAAATGTTGTTTTAAATTCTATTTTTTCACTTTAACATTATAAGCATTTTCCCACGTAATTCTCTTCAAAACACTTTTTAATATCTTGATAATATTCCATTATGTAGATATATCAAATTATTTAACCATAACTCTGTTTTTATAGGTTTAGGTTGTTTTCAAATTTTCATTATTATAAATAAAGGTATGAGAACAACCCAAATAAATCTTTGGCTGCATTTCTGATTATTTTTTCAGGAATGAATTCTAGAAGTGAGCTTTCTAGGTCAAAAGATAGTGCTATTTTTAAAGCCCATTCATTCAACAAATATTTCAGTATCTACTCTGTGCCAGACACTGTGATCCCTGCCCTTGTGGAGCTTATATTTTAAGAGGGTTGGAGAAGGCAGTGGATAAATAGTAAATATTTAAAAAAGTCTTAAGTGCTATGGAAAAGAGAAAAAGGGCAGGGTAAAGGGCATCAGATGTGCCACGGTGTTGGGACTGCACTATTAAATAGGGTAACCAGTATAAGACACACTGAGAAATTAAGGTTTCCACACAGACTTGAAGGAAATAGAGTTAACCAAGCAAGATGGCTGAAGGAACAGCATTTCACAGGAAGGAAACAGTCAGTTCAAAGGCCCTAAGTTGGGAGTATATGATATGGGATATGTCTGAGGAATAGCAAAGAGGCCAGTGTAGCTGAAGTGGAACAAGCGAGGGGGAAAGTAGTTGTAGAGGAGTCAGAGAGAAAAAAGGCTGGTCAGTTCATGTAGGGCCTTCAGGCTACTGTAAGGACTTCAACTTTTACTCTGAGTGAAATGAGAAGCCATGATGGGGTCTTGAGCAGAATAATAACATGGTCTGACTTACGTTTGAAAAGAGTCACTCTGATTGCTGTGTGGAAAACAGACTATAATGGGGGAAGAGTAGAGAAGCAGAGAGACCAGTTAGGAGGCTACTGCAAACTCCTTGCAATAGATGATGGGGCTCAGATCAGGGAAGTAGCAGCAGAAATGATGAGAAGTGACATGCTAAGAATCTTCACATACTTTGCCACACTGCTTTCTAGAAAGACTATCAATTTGTACTCACACTAGCAGTGTGTAAGTGCCTGTCTCATTGCTCCCTGCAGTTTTTAAATGCTCATTGGTATTTTGACTGACAATGGAAAGCTGATTTTAAAAGTCAAAGATTAAATCCCCAAATCCCTAAAAGCTTCTTTGGGATTTATAAATATTGAGCTTTAATAATGTATCTTTGTTAATATACCTTTCCCTAAATCCTTTCCAATTCCAAAGAAAATTCATCTCTCTTTACTCCCAATCATTTTCTGATTTCAGAACCAAGGCAGCCAACTTGTTGTCACTTAATTAGCAATATGGAGGTCTGCCACTTCTCAAGGAGAAAGTCAAGGGTTTAATCTGGGAAGCGAAGTGACCTGGTCTCATGGCTGAAATCTGTATTCAGCTTCATGTGAGAGATTGTACAGCCAAGGGTAATCATACCCCTATTATGTCATTTCAGATGTCTTTTACTTTAGGGGCAATTACAGGATCTTCCTTCAGTGTTTCGAAGTAGAATTATTTTTCATTCACTTGAATTTGGCAGGTATCAAAGAATGGCAGCATTAGAAAGAGCCCTCTTAATTTTCTAGGTGACATCCTTAGGCTGAGAAAAAGGAAGGGATTACAGAGGTTATAAGCACCTTCGAGGCCATTTGAGGCTACGGTTACTCTGCAACACACTCATGCATCATTCATCCCCGCTCTTACGCCTCTACTGACCATAATAAACTCTGTCCTTTCCTGAGACTCGGCAGCCCCCTCCACTGTGAAACTGCTCTGATTGTCTGAAAGGGACATCTCATACTTCACCAAACTCTATCTCTACCTTCTACCCTGTAGAACAGAACAAATTTGAAGACACATGCGTCCCCAATGACAGAACTTATCACAGTGTACTTCAACGGTTTGTTTATATTTCCTGTCCTCCCCCCTTTCCCCAATCTGTAAGCTTCTTGAAGGCATAGCTATGTCTCATTTGCCTGTACACAACAGCTCTTGATCAGTTCCTATTTTCCACTCCCTGAGCATACCACCACCTCCTCTTCCCCTCAGCCTGGACAGCAAGCATCCAAGCTTCTCAAACACAGGGTGGTGATGAATAGTCTGTGTGGCCAGTAGAGAGTATCCCTTCCCAACCATCAACTTCCCCTGTCCAAAAAGGGCATCATATGAAAGCTGGGCTTCCTTCCTACAACTTTTCTGGGTTTGTTTTGTTTATTTTGTTTCCTTGTCCCCAACTGATATTACTCATCCTGCTGCCTCTGTTGATGATGCTGGCATCTCTAGTGCCTAGCAC